CAACAGAAAAAAAAAAAAAAACGAAAAAAAAAAAATGTGGAATTACAAAAATCTATTCTGCTTTACTGACTAATTTTTTTATTTAATTTAAATTGAACTAGATCTATCTGGTTTATTTTGATGATTTCCTAAACTAATATTATCATCACAATTATTATTATTGTTATTATTATTATTATTATTATTATTATTATTATTATTGCTATTGTTGTTGTTGTTAATATTATTGTTGCTATTATTTTCATTATTAAATAATATCAACTTTTTATTTTTATTTAAATTTTCAATATCAGCTTCATCTATACTTCTGGGCTCATTTAAAGAATTGATTGAAAATTTATTAAAAAGTGAGTTTAGCTCTGTGCTTCCTGTGGCTTTTGTTCTTTTGATATTTTTTTTAACACGTAATTTCTTATTTCTGTCCTGCTCTTGTTGTTCCTCTTGGTGCTGTTGATTTGAATCAATTGATAATGAAGAGAACAAAAGACTAACTTTTGATGAAGAGGCTCTTGGTAATTTTTTAACTTTGATTTCAGTTGCTATTGAAAGTGGTGTTAAATTTAAACCATTATTATTATTATTATTATTTACATTATCATTACTGTTGTTTACTAATTTTGAATAAAGTGAAAATGGATTACCATGATTTATATTTGGTGAATTTTGGGGAACATTTAAAATCCCTTCAGATTTTGTATTATTATTATTTATTTCAATATTTATTGCCTTACTATTGCTGTTATTATTTACATTTTGTGTTGGATTTAAGAGATTTGAAAAAGTACCAAGATCTAAAATTTTTTTATATCTTAAAACCATTGTTATTGATGCACACTTGATTGTGTCCCCCATACAAAGTTGTTGAGATTGATTATATTTTAAATAAATGACTTGGTTCGCTCTTGTTATTTTAGTATAGCCCTTCATACTGTTACTTGTAATACTAAGATAATTTAAATCATTATAATCTAATGGTGAAATTGGTTAGTATCTTAAGATTTATCTTTAAAGATATGATTTAGATATTTACATATTGTACAATGTTTTCTTGATAAAAATTTACACTCTTTAATATTAACTGTATTTGATCTCGATCTTCCTATTGTATTGGCTCCATTTGTTAATTGATACTCTTTATTATTCTCTTTTACAAATAATGCAATTGTATAATTTGTAGGTTGCATATATTTTTATTAAATATATATATTTATATATATGCAATATATAAAAATATATATGCATATACTCTTAAATATTAATTTTTGGATATTATATATAATTAATTATTATTATTATTTTTATTTTTATTGGGTGGTGTTTTTTTTTTTTGGATGATACTAAAAATAATATATCTAAATTTTATTATCAATAAAATTGTTTATATATATATATATATTATATATATATATGTTTTTAAATATGCAGATATAATTATTATAATAATAATTTTTATTTATATTTTTTATTTTTTCAAGAAGGTTTGTAAAAAAATAAAATAAAAAAAAATAAATAAAAAAAATAGAAAAAAATTAAAAAAAATTATTTGAAAAATTAAATTTATAAAAATTTTAATTTTTATCTCTTTTTTTTTTTTATTATTATTTAATAAAAATATAAAAAAATAAGAATATTTATGGATGCAGAATGATTTTTTTATGGCTATAAATAACACCTACTTTTGATTGAATGTATGTTTAAGAGAGAGGGATTATCATAATTATTTTTTTAATTTTTATTTTTTATTTTTTTTTTATTTTTATTTTTTTTTTAAATTTTTTTTTATTTTTTTTTTTTTTTTTTAAAAAATTCGTTTATTTTTTAAATTTATTAATTAGTAAATTATTTATAACTTATTTATTTCATAATAATATATTATAGTCTGAAAATAATCCATAGTAATAACAATAGAGCAATAGCAATAATAAAACAATAATAAAAATAAAAATAATAATACATTAATAATAAAATGGCCGATAATGAAATTGAAAATAAAATTGAAAATAATGAACAAGAAGAAGATTTAAATAAAATTGAAGGAGGTGAAGAAGAAGAGGAAGAAGTTCAAGAAAATGGTGACAGTGAGGAAAAAACCAATGAAGAAAAAAATGGTGAAGAACCAGCCTTTGAAGATCCAGTAGGTTGTTGTTTTTAATTAAAAAAAAAAAAATTAAATTTTTTTTTTTTGAAATAAATTAAATTAGATTTAAACAGTTATAATAATAATGTTTAATTATTTACAAATTATTAATAAAATTTATTATTATTAATATTAGGAATTAGAAGAAATGAAAAAAAGGTTTAGAGAAATGGAGGAAGAAGCAAAAAAATTATCGGAATTACAAAATAATTTAGAATCAAATATAGCAGGTGTAGGAGCAGTTGATCAAGAAGAAATCGATGGTCGTTCAATTTATGTGGGCAATGTTGATTATAAATCGACACACGATCAAATTTTAGCATACTTTCAATCCTGTGGTACAGTTAACCGTATTACAATTCTTAGTGATAAAACTACTGGTCATCCAAAGGGTTGTTGCTATGTCGAATTTTTAAATAAAGAATCAATCAATAATGCAATGGCTTTAAATGACTCAATTTTCAATGATCGTCAAATTAAAATCACTCCAAAAAGAACCAATTTGCCATACTATATGAGAAATCCTGGTGGCACAAGACAATTTAGAGGTGCTAGAGGTGGTATTAGAGGTGGTGCTGCTGGTGTTCGTGGCCAAATAGGTGGTGTCAGAGGGGGAAGAGGTGGTGCTAGAAGACCTCACTTTTATCAACCATATTAAAAAAAAAAAATCTAAAAAAAAAAAAAAAAAAAATATATTTATATAGGAAAAAAAGAAATAATGCAATAAAAAATCGACCAATCGACAAGTCAATCAATAATCTCAACAACAGCGCATAAATAAATCAGTAACAGCATAAATAATAATCGATAACAGGGAAATAATAATAAATAATAATAATAGAGTGTTATTGGATTGGGGATTAATTTTAAAAAAATTGGATTTTTTTTTTGTAAAAATTTATTTTTTTAAATTTTAAAAAAAAAAAAAAAGAAAAGAAAAGGCCAAAAAAATTTAAAAAAAAAAAAAAAAAAAAAAATTTTTAAAAAAAAAAAGATAAATTTTTTTTTTTTAAAAAAAAAAAAAAAAAAAAGAAAAAAAAAAATTATTTATTTATTTATTTATTGATTAACAGTGTTTGGTCTTTTATTTTTTTTTTTGTTTTTGTTTGTGTTTGTATTTATGTTTTTTTTTTATGAACCCCAGTTTTTAGATTTTTGGATTTTTTGAACCTTTCAGATTAAAAATAGAATGATGCTTAAATAAAAAAAAAAAACCTTAATAACGAAATCTTATTTCTATAGCATTCAGTCATAATTGTAGAATTAGAAATTAACTAACATATTTCTTAATTTTTTTTTTTTAAATTGGGTAATTGTATTATTTGTTTTAATTTTTTACATTTTATTTTTCATTATTACCAGATTAAGTATCTCACACCGTTATTGTTATTGGAAATATTTATAAAGCTAACGGGTTACAGAGTTGAAGAAAAAGAATTAAAGGAAATTAAAAGATATAATCAAAACAATCATAACCACTTGTGATAACTTTTTTTTATTTATCAAGATATCTTAATAAGTAAAGCAAAGCAAAATAAAATAAAATAAAATAAAATAAAATAAAATAAAATAAAATAAAAATAAAAATAAATAAAATAAAACAAAAACTATTTCATAAAAAGATGATTCATTATATTTATTTTAAAATGTATTTACATAACTAGTTTATTATAGCTTTTTTTTTAAATTTTAATTGGTCAAACAAAAATAAACAAACAAATAAACTCGTTCTCAACATGTGTTTAGAAAATAAAAATAAAAAAAGCCTAAAAATAATAGATTTATTATGTTTCAAAACTCTATCTCTTTCAATATTTTCCTCACTCTCTTTTTATTAACTGCCTTTTTTTTTGTTTTGTTTTGTTTTATTTTAATTTTTAGTTAATAATGATATGGTGATTAAAAAAATAAAAATATATTATTTAAAAATTAAATGATTAAAACTGTTATATTAAATCTATTTTGAAAGTATTATCACAAACCAAACAATTAAAAAAAAAAATCTCATTGTTTTTGAGATTTCCCACGTACAGTAAAAATAGATTCAAAATATTTTATTTTATTTTTTTAAAACATCAATTATTTAATATTTTTTGTAAATTAAATATTTTTTTGCATCTGTTCGTAGATTGAGGAACCCATTTTCCAATAACTAATACAATTGTTAAATGGGTACTTCAAATGATAGACCATCATCCTTATATCTTTTTTTTTTATTAAATGAAACTGAATTAAATTTATTCAATTGAATACAAAATAATTTATTTATTGTAGTTATTAATGGATTGTTTTAGTTGTATGTGTGAGAATGTGAATTAATGATATTTTTAACATCACGAGATTTAAAAATAAACACACCCACACACTGTCAACAAAAATTTTATTATCATCCAAGCTTTCTTATATTTTATTTTTATCACATTTTATTTTACTTTCTTTTTGAATATTTTATTTAAAAAAAAAATACCACTCTCTTTCTTCCACCCCCAAAAAAAAACACTAAAATTAAGAATGGTTTTAAAATAAGAGTTTATTTATTTATTTTTTTTTTAAATTTTATCAAATTATTTGATTGTTTTTTTATATCATCAACAATAAATAAAAATGTGATGCTTAAAAAAGACATCTTAAGAAACAATAGAAAATATTGTAGGTTAGTGTGGGTATGTGTGGGTAAGTGATAGAGTGAAATGTGTGGTGGGTGTGCATATTTGAAATAATAATTTTTTTTTTAAATTTTTTTTTTTTTTTTAAAATAATCATTTTTTTTTTTTTCTTAAATTAAACTATAAATTTTTTTTTTC